ATCGGGGCCCAGTCGCGGAAGGGCGGAGCATCGGGGCCCAGTCGCGGAAGGGCGGAGCATCGGGGCCCAGTCGCGGAAGGGCGGAGCATCGGGGCCCAGTCGCGGAAGGGCGGAGCGGCACCCAGTGCAGCCTCACAGTGTGATGTGCTTCCTCATTCAGATACAGAGCACCAATGCCCCACACCCCCCCCACGCCAAAACATGCCAGATTATCAGCACCACAGTGTCCTGATTTATTTTAGACAGCCCCCATCACACAGCATAAGGTCAGACAGGGGAAACCACAGGGACCACAGTCACACACATCCCCACAGAAGAGAACCGGCGCCTGCCTAAGGATGGGCCTGGACCCGACGCCCTTGCTCCAGTGAGCTGCGACTGCCCAGGGAGCCCCATCGCGCGGCCGGCAGCTTGCCTGCGCAGTCCCGAGTTTGCAGGCCCATCGCGCGGCCGGCAGCTTGCCTGCGCAGTCCCGAGTCTGCAGGCCCATCGCGCAGCCGCCAGCTTGCCTGCGCAGTCCTGAGTCTGCAGGCCCACGGCAGGGATCCAGTGCACATCCGTATCTGTGATGCAGTATCAGGTCTGCCCCTTTACTCCCCCTGAGTACGTGCGGTTCTGGCTAGCGTCCTGATTAATGATCTGACCACACTTGGGGTACCTGGCGACACTCTGGGTGGTGATGTAATCCAGCCTGGAATGCACCTACAAAGGCTTTAATTACCTGCCGTCTGCTGGCAATGCCCTCCTGTTCACCGCCGTGACCCCACAAACGGGGTATCAATCATACCGATATTAAACAGCCAGCAGCGTGGATTATAAGGCTGTAAGACCACTGTACAGGCACCCATATCCAGCAACTGCAGGCTAAGGGATGGTATAAACTCAAGGTTGTAACAGCAGGCAAATTAGGTATCCGGGAGGTTGCAGGGTTAAATCCCTCGACCATAATCCTATAGCAGCAGCGGACTGATTTTAAGCCAGTTTGCTTCAGTGAATTTGTAAGTACTGAGTAAGTGTGAAAACAGACTGGCATTGCAGGATTCTTTCAAATAAAAGCACTGCTTAAGCGAAGGCGATGTGAGAATACACAGGGCTAACAACACACAGCTCTGCCTGGTAACAGGTCACCTGTATGACTAGTGAGTAGGGGTGTAGGGGTGCTCATCACGAGCTCTCCTGACTGGCACTGGGGCCCTTGGGGGGCTGAAGGGAGAAAAATCCGAGCCCGTGTTAGGGGAGCCCACAGAGAACCATCTTCCCGTCATCGTCACACTTCCGTTGCTCAGCTCCTATCACGCCACCTCTCATTTGGGTCAGGCAGATGGCCAGAGTCATTCCCGACATGAGAGCGCCAATCTTGAAACCAGCACCCAACCGGGGTCTATAACCTCGCACCCTCTGGAGCCTCCTAGTTGCCGTGAACACAGAGCTTCACTTAATCCCCCAGACAATCCCAACCATATTGCCCTTAATGGGGCGCAAACACTCACCATAATGTGCTTGGAAGGCCTGTGGCTTGACCACCTGACCACAGTGGCTGCACATCACCAGGAAGAAGTCATCCTGTGCCGGGAACTGGCCAAATATGGGCATGTCTGCAGCAAGATGGAGAAAAACAGACATGAGAAGGTGGATGGATGTGCAGGACAACATAGAGCCCTGCAGCTGGATGTGCAGGGAAGAATACCACAGACGGCAACACGGTATACGCACGTGCACAACCACAGACGGCAACACGGTCTTTCAACACGGACCCCTGATCATTCCGTGGTCTTCAGGTACTTATTAAGATTAGGCGATCACTAGCGCAAACACGCACCAGAACCAGTAACACGGCATACGCGCGGGCGCCGCACCAGAACCAGTAACACGGCATACGCGCGGGCGCCGCACCAGAACCAGTAACACGGCATACGCGCGGGCGCCGCACCACCTATAAACACTCTGCAAGCAACCATCCAAAGCCCAGAGAGAACCCCACACATGGTTCGAGCCGGAGGAGTGGCTCTACAGAGAACTACACCCACACCAAAAAGGTTACTGGGGGAGCAAGGAATTCTGGGAGATCAGCAACTGCCTCACACTGGAGAAACCTTGCACAAATAGCTTCAATTCCAAAAGTAGACAGGGAGGTGACTGGGCAGAAGAGAGGGGAGAGGGTTCATTCTGTGGCATTTAAAATTTCTAGAAGAATCTACAAGCATCAGTGCTTATTTCCATAACAGAGCTGGGGTGAGTTTCCCGAAGCGTTCTTAACGCTACGTCGTTCTTAAGTTCTGTGTTAAAAGATAGAACTAACGAACGACGTAGCGTTAAGAAGGCTTCGGGAAACTCACCCCTGATCATTCCGTGGTCTTCAGGTACTTATTAAGATTAGGCGATCACTAGCGCAAACACGGAGTGCATGCCCAAACACGGAGTTGCGAGCCCAAACACTCACTGTATGGCCTATACATGTACTGTCCGCGTCAGTCACAGCCCATGGGAATCATTCTACATCCATCGTCCAAAACTACTTAATGACTTGAGGGTCGTCTATTGCAGGTGACACTAGGCAGCGGACCTCCTGGATGGAGGGCTAGTCTATTACAGGAGAGACACACACACACAGACACAGGTTTGTATTGATACTCTCTATTTATTTCTATGGGAGAAACTCTAATCACAACAAGACGACTTTAACCCCAACCCAGCCCTAACCTTAACCATAAGTAACCAACCAAAATACCAGACTGCACTCACAGATCCTGAGAAGAGGTACCCACAATGTCAAAATAACAGGTTTTTATTACATTGTGGGGAAAATTTGGTTCCCACAATGTAATATAAACATAATCCACACACACACACACACACACACACACAAACTATGAGCAATTTAGAGAATTTTACCCAATTCACCCAAGTGCATGTTTCTGGACTGCATTGGACAGAAGAACGTAGGGAAATGTATTTGACGCACAGAGAACGTGCAACGTCCGCATACAGAGAGCAGAGGAGGGATTCGAATACACAACCCTGGAGGCTACCCAGCAAGCCAGTGCACTGGCTGAACCCACTACTTCATCATAATAATAATTAATAAAAATAATTGATACTTTATTGATCCCCCTGGCGATATTGTCTTTACGCCTCCCTCAACTTGCTCTTTGTGGAGCATGCTGTCCGCGAAGGGCAGCCACCCGTAGCGGCGCCCAGGCAGCTGGGGGTTAAGGGCCTTACTCTAGGACCCGCAGACATGCTGAGGCTGGGTCTGAACCAGCGACCTTCTGATTACAGGCACACAGGCTTAGCCCACTGAGCCACACGCTGCCCCAACTTGTAGTCTTAACAAAAGTTAGGCCTAAAAATAACAGCCACCCACAGGCCTCCCCTTTCCCCCTGGCGCTGCAGGACGCGACCCAGCGGGGCGGCATTGCGAATCCCCAGAGCCACCATCCCCATTGCCGGCTGCCAGCAACCTTCAGCGTCTGACAGAAACCGAGCTGCGGAGGATTTGTTCAGTGAAGCTTCACAGACAAACTAGTAACCCAATGAGAATCACAGACGTTTCATAATGGCTACAGCCCAGAACACAGACCTCCCGTAAATCTGTCATCATCCTGACGTTTGTCATTCTGCTTACCTCCCGCCAGCCTGTTTTTATTCCTCACCAGCAGCCAGGGGGCGCCATATTATTTAAAAATAAACTTCCCCCTAAACACAATCCTTTTTCCAGCTTGCTGACATCATTAGGTGGCAAGCAATGATCTGGTGGCAAATAGAACGTTTAAACACCACAGGCGAAATTTTGGAACTGCTAACTTTTGTGAGGAAGAGTTTACAGATTGACATATAAGCATGATTTAGAGCAAACAATTACACCAAATATGTAACTTCTGAAAAGCCCCATCTGACCAAATGGGTCGCAAGCAGGGCACAGAGCACCCGGGACAGGATGCCAGTCCATCGCAGGGCACAGAGCACCCGGGACAGGATGCCAGTCCATCGCAGGGCACAGAGCACCCGGGACAGGATGCCAGTCCATCGCAGGGCACAGACAAATTCTTATCAAAATTCTTCTGCCAAACTCTCCAGCTCAAAGTCTTGCATCCTAGATGAAATCCAGGCCCATCCGACGGCAAGTCTGCCAGTCATGAAAAGACTACCTCTGATTGCAGAAGATTCCCACGATGCCCAGACTTTGCATTCCAAAGCAAAAATAAAAGTCTGACCGAGAGCATTAGAACAAAGGAAATGCCTGAAACCCCTAAGCTTCAGAGGAAACATGGGAAAACAGCAACTTCTTCTTGGGCCCAGGTTTCCATGCGGGCGCCCGGCGCCCGACCGAGGCCCGGCTGCGGCGCCCGACCGAGGCCCGGCTGCGGCGCCCGACCGAGGCCCGGCTGCGGCGCCCGAACGAGGCCCGGCTGCGACATGCACACTGGTTCATTGCTTACTGATGCACACATCCTATTAGCTAAACTCCCTGACGAGCTGAACAGCCTCACACCAACAATGTCAATGACAGATGTCAGACTGATGTAACAAAAATATATTTATTTGTTAATTTATATGTAATATTATTTTGCACAAATGGTTCAAATGCACCATTTCCAATCTTTTCCCTCAGAAGCATTAAACAGAAAAGTGATCCCATTGTAGTGAGGCGTCATGTATGAGGTCACGGCCTCCGAGGCCCTTATGCGATTTGCCCCACAGCAGAAATACCCCAAGAACCTACAGAACCAACTGTGTAGCTGAGTTGGGGCTAATGGACATGTGGTGTCTTAGTAAGAGGTCAGATATACACTAAAAAGTATATAAAAATAGCATGAAATGGTCAAATGTGTGAACAATTTGCATGTTAATATGCATATTAAAATTCAAACTAGATTACTTATGAAAATTAGGAAAAACTATGTTCACCCACTCATCTTGCATGACTGCTTACCCAATACAAGGGTGCAGTGAACCTGCAATCTATCCCCATCCATCACAGAGCACGTGTACACCCTGGACGGGATGCCAGTCCGTCACAGGGCACGGGGCCGGGGTACACCCTGGACAGGGTGCCAGTCCGTCACAGGGCACGGGGCTGGGGTACACCCTGCATGGGCTGACAGTCTGCCCACTTACACACTATGAGAAACACACATTCACCTAATTGCATGTCTCTGGACTGCAGGAGGACATGCACACAGACTGAGCTTTCGGTGGGAAACAAAGCCACAAGCCACTGAGGCCAGACACCATCCACACAAACATCATACTTCTCAGATTCCTCAAAACCCCTCAATCATTACATAACATTTTATTCATATACTCATACACCAACTCAACTTTACACTCCTGATTCAACACATTAACAACAAACATCACCGCTGAATAAATTCTGCTCGTTTACTTTATTTCTTTGGCAAAAAAATCTTCAATATAATTATGCGATCCATTTTTTAATCACATCCTCTAAATTAAGTACATATACTGCCAAAATATTTACTCCTAAACCAAAAATCCTTTAACAAAAATAAATGACAAGAGAAGATGACACCTCAGTAGCTTAAAACCCAGTTATGTCACAAAAAGATCTTCCAGCTTTGACACCAGAAAGGGCGGTTAGCATAGATCATCACTAAAATGTCTGAGATTAAAAACAATAACAATAATATGAATAAATCAATAAATGTTCTTAATGACAACCTCAGAAGTCTGCTGTTAACTTCCCCATACCGTCTCCTCCCCTGCTTGACGGCAGAAAGCATAACAGTTATTACAGTACCTGCAGCCCCTTAACACTCCAGTGAACGACAGCAACTTCTAACCCCAAAGAGTGAAACTTCGGTCCCTGTGGGGTCCATTTGAGGCCCCTGATGTTTTCAGACCGCTTCAACTCACGTATATCAAGTGCACTTGCTTTAAGCGGAGATGAGATTTCTGCCCGTGCGTTTAAGTCTATGCAATCCACCAAAATAAAAACGTACCTCTGAGCAAAAACAAAAATAGCCACTCACCGTCTCTGCAGAGCCTCATGGCTTCTCGATTTTTCCCGAACTCTTTCAAACTTTCTTCAGATTCCGCACCTAAACAAGCGATCGCATACAGTCAGATAAATAGTTACACTTGCTCGCTGGTGTTGCTGCTTAGCTACCAGCGGCGTTTCTTACACCGATCAAGCCCCCTCCCGCGACAACTGCGCGCAATCTGAAAAGCTTTCCTTCACCGGGAGATCGCGACCGAAAGCTTTTATCGCCCTCCCGAAAGAGGAGACGCACCGTCGTTCCCGTGGAGTTTCGCGACATCCAGCCAGTCGCTCCAAGGCTGTCCCAGCACGATTTCTGGACTGGGTAGAGATCTGCGCTCCCCTACAGTCGCCATTGCTGTAGAGGCTTCTCCCTGCTGGATGTGCCGCTGTTGCTGCTTTGGCTGCCTGGCCGCTCTGCGCTGCTCCTTTCTGACGTCACAATCGGCCCTTTCCGACATTCTTTCCGCTACAATGTAACGAGACGGCAGTCAGCGCTCAGAATCAGAATAGAGTTTATTACAAAGTACGTTCACACATACAAGGAATTTGCTTTGGTGGTTGGTGCCAGACATTGAGAGATAAAGGTGCTTAACGAGGATCCCTCATTAATCCGTGTCCACCCTCCTTCGGATATGGCTCCTTATGCACAAGTACTCAGTCCGGAGGGCTGTCATATTAGGCGGGCCTCCCGTATTTGGAATGATGCGATTGAGGAGAAATGTCACGGCGATCCCCGACACACACATAGACGCCGAGCGTCCCCAGCGCAGAGATAAAACTTTAAGGGGGAACAAATAACTTTGCCGAATTGTGCGAGGAATACAAGCAGCCTGATCTGTTTAAGTTTAAAAAGTGTGCTGTGGGGGGGGAATCCAGCTATTTCACCGGTAACTAATTTCATGATCATTCAAATACGACACAGTAACTTCCAAATAATGTAAGTTCGCTCTCATCTGAAACATTTACGTTCAGGTAGTGTTTAAAAGTCATGTTATGTTAAAGGTTCCTGGAAGTTAGACAAAGCTGAAGCGTGCAAATGCCCTTCTTGATAGTTCCTTCTTTTTACTATCACTGCGCAGATAGAGGAATTTCATTTGCTCAACATTTCTGGTCAGAAAGGCAAACACAGGAGGCAAAACAGTCACTGAACTAACATTTGTTGTGGACAAATGACTCAGAAATTATCATTTAAAAATACATATTAGAAATGGTATTGGAAGTTAGAAATCATAATGTTTGATTACCATTTCAAAGGCCCCCAAAAGGCCTGCAGACTCCTGCCTGCGGTCAGCTGCTCCAGAGCTGAAACTAACTCAGAGTCGTGATCTGTGATGTGTGCCGGAGTTCACAGCTCACCAGCGAATGGTGGAGATCATGATACAGAGTTTTATGCATCGAGTTACATAATGTCCAATTATGAGTGAAAGAAACATTTTACCATGATAATTAAAATAACTTGTGAAACACTAAGCTTATCATTTACCATAACAGTTACATATAATATCCAATATGCAGATATCAATATTCTGAATGGTTTGAAAAATATTATCTATTTTGGCAGATCTTTGTCAGATAAATGGGTAAGTGCATAATAGATAATGTCACTTTATCAAAATCTGTTTGGAATGAGCCCTGTGATTCTCCAGGTATGTTAAAAAAAATAAAAATAAATAAACACAAAACGGCTGTGACCCTATGTGTGCGTCTGTGACCCTAT